GACAGATCCAGCACCAGCAACATGGAGACCCAGGACAGTGGATTCACTCCCAGCAGAGCAACCTGGGATGATGGGCACAGCGCTGGGGACATGGAGACCCGGCACGGGGACTTGTTCAGCCCCAGCAGAGTGGCCTGGGGAGACAGGTCCAGCACCAGGGACGTGGAGGCCCAGGACAGGGGGTTCAGCCCCAGTGGAGCAGCCCAAGATAGGGAGCACAGCTCTGTGCTCCCCATGGAGGAAGGGCAGGAGCTGATCCCAGGCCGGCTGAGCTGGTCCGGTGAGGGCAGCGTCAGCCAGGCCAGGCATGTTGGGGTCAATGAGGAAGATGTGCCTGGCTCCCTCTGCCCTGATCTCCTGGCCCAGGAGCCCACCTGGGGCAGTGCCCACCAGCAGGAGCGTGGCAGCTCCAGCAGCAGGGACTGGGCTGAGGAGCTTGGAGGAGGCGACTGCCACAACCAGTTTGGTGCCATTGGGACAGAGCGGGTGCCAGACCCCTGCAGCAGCGGAGCCTCGGATGGCGCCATGTCCGGGGGCCTGCAGTCCCTGGCAGGCTGGCACAGGGATATCTCTCTGGACACGGACGATGCCCGCTGGAGCCAGGACCTGGAGCACTGGAGCGTGGAGCTGCAGGACACCGAGGCCAAGCGCCAGGAGTGGGCGAGTGCCTTCGGTGCCCGTTGTGCCGCCCGCAGCCGGGACCTCGGCACTGGGGAACGGAGCCTGGGAGGGGACACGGGCACAGAGGACAGGTAAGGAGGGCAAGGGTGGTGGCAGGGAGGGAGCAGCTTCCCCTGAGGTGGACAGAAGGGTTTTGGGACATGAGCAGGCCTTGTGTTATCTGGGGCTGGAGCAACTCTGTGGTCTTGTCTCCCAAGCAGGAGCCTCCGTCTTTCAGCCCCCAGCCCACCGATGGGTGATGCCCCAGCTGACCCCCCAGCTCTGGAGACCCCCCGGGGTGAGCTGCTCAGCCCCACTGAGGAAGAGAGGGACCTCCCCGAGCACACCACTGCCCTGCAGAGCCCCGAGGCCTCCTCTTTGCTGCTGGAGGCTGCCAGCGGGATCCCAGTGGACACAGGGATTGAGGAACCCACCTCGGACCACCCAGATGGGGAGAGCCCCCCGGGCTGGGGGGAGCAGCGGCTCTCCCTGGGCGCCCCTCAGCCTGAGGGGCCCATGGAGCAGGGGCAGGAGTTCCCCTTCCTGGAGGTGAGTGGGGAGGGGGCAGCTCCCAGTCCGGCGGAGGGTTCCGTGGCTGCCCCTGCCGTCTCTGACGTGTCCCATGGGCTCGGCAGGACACGGAGCTCCTGGACAGCAGCGTGTTCCGCAGCAAGGCCAGCCTGGGCCGCAAGCGCCGGCACCGGGCACCGGCCCTGCGTCCCACCGCCCCCGAGGGGGACAGCTGGATCTTCCAGGACTCCACCGGTGAGCCCAGCGGGGACGGGGAGGGGAGTGGGGCGTCTGTCCTGGCACAGGTGTCACTCTGACGCTGTCCCTGTGTCCCCGCAGAGCCCCGGCCAGCCCCAGCAGCGTCCTCCGACGAGGAGGCAGCGGAGGAGCCCCGGAGCCGGCGGGTGCGCGGCTCCCCCTTGGGCAGGGGCGTCAAGGTGCCCCTCTTCCCCGGCCTCAGCGCCTCTGCCATCAAGGTGGGACCCCCGGACCCCTGGAGGGGGGGGTAAACCAGGGGTGGGGGCTGCCTGACGGCAGGGAGGAGGCAGTGGGGGGATTTATGGGGCAGAGCACTGTGTGCCCCGCTGACCTCGCTGTCTGCTCCCAGGCCAAGCTGAGGGGCCGCAACCGCTCGGCCGAGGAGGGGACATCATCAGGGGACAGCAAGGGGACCTCCTCCAAGGACCCCCACGTGCAGCGCTCCAAGTCCTGCAAGATCCCTGGTGTGAGTGGGAAACCCCCGGCGCTGCCCCCCAAGCCGGAGAAATCGTCAGGGTGAGTGTGGGGCCAGGACCCTCGTGGGGCGAAAGGGGTGCTGGGGGGGGTTCAGTCTGGGTGCCCAGGCTGCTCTTGGGGGTCTCATGCTGATGCTGTGCAAACACCCCAGATCCGAGGCCTCCCCCCCACACTGGCTGCAGGCGCTGAAGTTGAAGAGGAAGAAGCCTTGAGTGGGTGAGTGTGGGAGTTGGGGGGATGCTGGGCACGGATCCCCCCGGCTGGGGGCTCCCCATGTCCCCTGTGTGCAGGGCTGTGGGTCCTGCGTGGCTGGAGGGGGATGTGAGGGCAGGGCTGGCTGTGGCACCGTGGATGGGGTGTCTCAGTGGGAGATGTCCCTGTGTCTCTGGAGTCTGCATTGCTGGGGTCAGGTCCCTTCTGCCTGCTCCAGCCAGGACCCCTGGCCTGGGTCATCACTGGGGGGTGTGCTGTCACCCCTGGGGGTCCCTGCAGACCCTCAGCCCCTCCCCGCTGTGTCTCTTCCAGGCTGTCTCCCCGATGCCGATGGCCGCTGTCCCGGGACCAGGGCTGTCCCCTCCCATGGGGACACACACACACACACACACCTATGCACTTTGTACGAGCTCGCAGGGTCCCCATCTCCCCCCAGCACCTCCTCCCCGTCCCCATCCTCACATTGTACCCCATCCCCTCTGTCCCCTGGGGGCTGGGGGTGGGCACGACCCCCCCTCCCCTCACCCCTGCTCGTGTATCGCCCCGGACACAGGGCGGCGGGTCCGGCTCGTGGTGCTGCTGCCACAGACAATAAAACCTCGCTGGTCAGTCCGGGGGGCCTGGCTCTTCTCTGGGGGTCACAGGGGGCCCTGTGGGATGGGGGTCCCCGTGCAGGGGCTGCCAGCAGGAGGAGCTCTGTGCCCACAGTGCACCCTGGGGCTGGCTGTTCCCAGCACAGCCCATGGAAGGGGGAACAGAGGCACAGGAGCCGTGCCCGAGGGGTGTTGCTTCCCCGGTCGGATGTAACTCCTGCGGCTTTGGAGGAAGCTGCCGGAGCCTTCCTTGTGTGGGGCCGAGCGCTGCCCTTCCTGCCTGTGGGGGCCTTGCTCCACATCCCACCCCGTGGGGGCTCCCACCCCAGTCCCCCTCAGAGCCAGCGGGGGTGCCGTGACCCTGGCTCGTTCCCAATGGAGCCGCTGGTGCCAGAGCCTGGGGAATGAGGGTCCCAGAGCACCTCAGTGGTGCCCAGGGCAGAGGGAGAGCGGCTCCTTGCAGCGTCCCCCCGCAGCCCCCTCCCCTCCCCCTGCTGCAGATAACGGGGTTTGTTATCAGCCCCACGGGCTCGTTATCAGCCCAGCTCTGGCCACTGATCCACTGCCGTTGGCTACCACAAACCCAGCCAGGGGGACTCCTTCCCCAGCACTGGGACCACTGGGATGGCACTGAGGGCAATCGGGTCAGTGAGGGAGTGACCTGGACCCTCAGTCCTCCAGCTTTTGAGAAGGGATACCTGAGCAGGGGCTGGAAATGGAGGCGTGTTCCAATGGGACAGAGATAGCCGGGATTGTTATTAATAGTCATTAATAACACGGCTCAGTAACGGTGCTGCTCATTAATGGGGTTCTGGCCACGGCAGGAGCAGCCTGGGCAGCCTCTCTGTGATCCCAGGGGCGGCTCCTCTGCGGCGCTGGGGTTTCCCCGTTAATGCCGCTAATTAGCGTTAATTAGCCTACACTGGGGAGTGGGGAGTTCCGCCCTTTCTTTAATCGAAGTTGGCATTTTAACCAGAACCGGGACACCCTCAGGGTTCTGGTGCCAGTTGTGGAAGCTTTTGGGTTTAATTCCTCACTGCCTCGAATCTGGCTGTCCCAGCACTGGATATGGGATCGTTCCTTATCTCCAGCCTGATTAAGCCCTGGCTTGTTCTCCCTGCTGACGCTGCGGGCCTTCTCAGTGTCTGGTTCAGTGGCTGCCATGTCCCTGCCTCCGGGGCCCCCCAACCCACATCCCTGTTTAGCAGCCCCTTTACCCCCTGAGACCGCTCTGTCTCAGTTTGGAGACTCCTGTGAGCTCCCCCCTCTTTCAGCCACTGAATTCCCCCCCAAACCCCTCCTTTACACCCCTTTGCTGGGAGAAGGGCCCCACTGTGCCTGCGAGGGGTTGGGGGTCTCTGTGTCCCCCCAGCCTCCATCCCTGTGCTCAGGTGTTAAACCTGCCCCTTCCACAGCCTGTCCCGTGTTCAATCTGCCCTCAGCCCAGCTCAGACCCCCCTCAGCCCAGGCTCCAGCCCAGACCCCACAGCGTGTCCCCAGGGCACTCGGGGCTCTTCAGACTTCGTTCACTCTGCAAAGTCCTGCTTGGCTTCTCCAGTGCTTTTCCCCAAAGCTGGAACTGTGTTCAGTCCCAGTGGGACATCCGCAGCGCACGGCCCCGCCACCAGAGGGCCCCCCCCCGACCCTGTCCCCCCAGTATTTATTTGTGGGTCGGGGGGATGTCTGTTCTCTCTTGGCTAAGCCGAAGGCGCTGCTGCATCCGGCTCCGTGACTGACCTGCGGAGCTGGGATGCACTGGGAGCTCCACTGGCAGCTGGTCCTGTGGCAGCCATTGCCCTAAAATGGGCTTTCTGCAGCATGGGTGGTCCCAGAGCCTTCCCCCCCCCCCAGATAAATGCCTAAAAAAGTCTCCCTGGCATGTTTTGCTCAAAATGGGGCCCCAGCACCGGGGGACCCCCCGGAGCCACCGCTGTGTGCACAGTGCAGCAAACCTGGGAGCAAAACGGGGAATCCTGAGTGCCAAATGCAAAATGCCAAATGCATCCCCCCCTCCTCCAGTGCGACTCCACCCAGTGTGAACCCCCCCCAGTGTGACCCCCCGCCACCGAGTGCCCGATGTGACACCGCCCGTGCGAAATGCAACCCCGGCGTGCGACACCCCAGCGCCGAATGCGGCGCCCTGAGCTGAAACCCCAAATGCTGGCAGAACCCTGAGGCTCCTCCCCGGCCCTGAGCCCCCCCAGCGCTGCTGCCCTGATCCCAGCACCTTGGTGGGCGGCCAGACCCCCCGGGTGTGGCAGGGGACGGGGTTATCTCGGGGGTCGGCGCATTGACACGCGGGTGAGAGCTCGGTAAAACCCCCCGGGAAGGAGCCAGATGGAGGTGGGGGGAGCTGTGAAGTTTCCCACGGGGGCTCCCCCCCAGCCATCCGTCGCTCCTGCCCTGTCCTGTCCGTCCCATCCAGGAGGAGGGCGGGGAGGAGGAGGAAGGGGAGGTAACTCGGTGGGATTTGCAGGGTGGCTCAGGGGCTGGAGGAGCGGGTGAGCCCGGGATGAGCTGAGCTGAGCTGAGCCCAGCCCAGCCCAGCGCCGGGATGGAGGAGGCAGCGGACGCCTACGCCTACAGTGACAACGAGACGTACTGCGAGTACACGGAGTGGGGCCCCTCGCTGGCCCTGCTGCCCACCATCTACCTGCTGGTCTTCCTGCTGGGCACCGCTGGCAACGGGCTGGTCCTCTGGACCATCTTCAAGGGCGGCCGCGACCGCCGGCGCTCCGCCGACACCTTCATCGCCAACCTGGCGGCCGCCGACCTCACCTTCGTGGTCACCCTGCCCCTCTGGGCCGCCTACACCTGGCTGGGCTACCACTGGCCCTTTGGCACGGCCGCCTGCAAGGTCAGCAGTTACCTGGTCTTTGTCAACATGTATGCCAGCGTCTTCTGCCTGACGGGGCTGAGCTTCGACCGCTACCTGGCCATCGTCCGGCCCCTGGCCACTGCCAAGCTGCGCTTGCGGGTCAGCGGGCTGGTGGCCACCGTGGCCCTGTGGTCTCTGGCAGCCCTGCTGGCCCTGCCGGCCTTGGTGCTGCGGCGGGCGGCCGCCCTCGGCGAGGACTCCAGGATCACCTGCTACATGGACTACACGGACCTGGAGGCCCTGGGGTCGGAGGGCGCCTGGGAGGTGGGGCTGGGGCTCTCCTCCACCGCCGTGGGGTTCGTGGCCCCCTTCGCCGTCATGCTCACCTGTTACTTCTTCATCGCCCGCACCGTGGCCACTCACTTTCGCCGGGAGCGGGCCGAGGGGCTCCGCAAGCGCAAGCGCCTCCTCACCATCATCACGGTGCTGGTGGCCACCTTCGGGGGCTGCTGGCTGCCCTTCCACCTGGTCAAGACCCTCTACGTGCTGATGGACCTGCAGGTGCTGCCCTGGTCCTGCGCCCTGCACACCTTCCTCAACAACCTCCATCCCTACTGCACCGGCGTCGCCTACATCAACAGCTGCCTCAACCCCTTCCTCTACGCCTTCTTCGACCCCCGTTTTCGCCACGCCTGCGCCGCCCTCCTGTGCTGCCGGGCCCCCGGCCCCGGCCCCGAGCGCTCCGCCAGCTACTCCTCCGGGCACAGCCACCCCCCCGGGGGCAAGGGGGGCCCCGGCCCGGGGGGCAAGCTGGACCCCGCCACCCAGGAGACGCTCTTCCGCGCCTGAGCCCCCCCGGCCACCCCCGGCGCCCCCCGAGCTGGTCTCCTCGGGGGGGACCCCCCAACCTCCGCCTTGCCCCAGAGCCTGGCTTGCTTTGGGGACCCCCCCCCGCTGGAAAGCCCTGCTCACGGGAAGGGGAAACTGGGGCAGGGGCTGGGCAGAGCCGGGGAGGAGCCCCTGGGGGGCTCGGGCGGGGGCGGCTCCCCCAGCACCCTTTTGTGTTTTGTGTCAAATAAATGAGTTTTGGTTAAAAAAGGAGCAGTGTGCGTGCAGTTCCCTCGGGAGGGGCTGGGGGGGACATGGTGGGGGACGTCGTGGAGGGGTGGGGGGTGCAGCTGGGCTTTGGCGTGTCCGTGAGTGAGGGGGGGGTTGGGGGTGCACTATGGGGGGTCCCTGCGCCTTGTGGCTGCCCGTGGCCCCTGCTGGGTACCCCTGGACGCTGGTGGGGATTCCAGCCTGGGACAGACTCTCCCTGGTCTCTTCCCCAGCAACGCTTGGGGAAATGGTAGGAAAACCCCCAAACCTTTGGAGCATCACAGCACTGGGATAATAGGGGTGTTTGGCCCTGTGGGGTGGGTGCCTGCCTGCCTCAGCCCCCCAGCTCTGATTGCATCAGGCGGCTGCTCTGTCCCACCAAATCCCATTTTTGGGCTTTTATCCTTATCTGAGGCCAGGACAAGCCCTGGGTGACTCACCCGGGGGTGGAAACGGGACCTGGTGCTGTGAAACACCCAAACCTGAGGGATGGGGGCATGGGACCCCCTGGGTGTGGACAGGGACACGGGACCCCTGGGTGTGGGGGGGGACATTGGACCCCCTGGGTGCTGGTGGGGGATTTGGGCGCTGGGCAGGACCCCGGCTCACCCCAACCAGGATTTTGATGAGCCACCAAATGGTTCCTGTCCCACTTCCCCCCACAGGCCCTGTCGCTTCCTGAGGCTCCGCTCGAAATAAATCTTCCCCCTATTTGCTATTTACATCCTTCATTTACTGGTGATGAACTATCCTGTCTCCTCAGCCTTTGTTCTCCCTTGGCAAGGATGCAGGATCATTACTGGGTTCCTTGGGAGGCTTCCCGTCGGGGAGGGGCTGCCTCTGCCTTCCTGCCAGCCCGCTCCGTGTTTGGGGGACATCAGCTGGAGTCCCCCCACGCAGGGATGGTCCTTTGTCCAAAGAGAGGGAATGGGGAGGGACAGGCTGAGGGGCTGGGGGCTGCACAAACCCCACACCTGGAGAGGTGGGAGCCTACTTGGGGGTTTTGGGAGACTTTCCAGTGGATCTAATTTGGTCTAAGGGCCAGGGGGGCTTGAGGGGTGGGAATGCTGCATCCAGGGCCACGTCCCGAAGTGTGTTTACATTCCAGATGCTGCCCAGCCTGCCTCACCCTGGAGAGACCCCTCGATAACAGCGATCTGTCAATCCAGATGTCCATCCATCAGTCCAACAGCCCCCTCCTTCCCCCATCCATCCATCCATCCATGGTTTAGTGGTTTAGGGGTTGCAGTGACAGTGCTGGCTTGATGGCTGGACTTGATGATCTTAAAGGTCTCTTCCAACCTTGATGGTTCCACCATTCTGCCCCTCCCTCCCTCCATAATTCCCTCCGTCCTGCTCTCCCTCTCTTTCTCCGCCCTCCCACCCTGCCGTCCTCCTTTCCCTCCCTTTATCCCTCTCCCCATCTCTCCCTCCACCCCCCCCACTGCCCCCAAATATCCCAGCACTGGGGGGGGGTCGGTGTTGCTGTTTCCCCCCCTCTGGTGCAGCCGCCGGGCACGGAAACGGCCGCAGGCGCCCGGCCAGCGGAGACGGAGCTGCTGACTTTCTATCCGCCTCTTGGAGATTTCCCTTTCCCTTCCAGGAAGGAAGTGTTTGGTTGAGGAATCCCTGGGGACAAATGCAGGGACACTCCAGAAAAATAACAAGGCCGGAGCCGGGGATGAGGGACAGTGGGGCCGGACCACCCGTCGGAAGGAGATAAGGAAGGTGTTGCCTTCCTGCCAGTTCCAAGGGAAGATGAGGAGGGAAGATAGAGGGGGGACAGCAGGGACAGGGGGGATGGGGAGCATCCTTGGAAAGACTAGGGAGCAGGGGGGGGTGCTCCTGGCCGAGTCTGGGTACCCTCTGTCCCTAAATCACAATGCTCTGGGAACCCTGGGGTGGATAGGGAGTGTGGGGTGTGCTCCCAGGACCCTCAAACCCCAAACCCCAATGCTCTGGGAACACTGGGGTGATTAGGGAATGTGGTGTGTGCTCCCAGGACCCTCAAACCCCAAACCCCAATGCTCTGGGAACACTGGGGTGATTAGGGAATGTGGTATGTGCTCCCAGGACCCTCAAACCCCAAAACACAATGCTCTGGGAACACTGGGGTGATTAGGGAATGTGGTGTGTGCTCCCAGGACCCTCAAACCCCAAACCCCAATGCTCTGGGAACACTGGGGTGATTAGGGAATGTGGTATGTGCTCCCAGGACCCTCAAACCCCAAAACACAAT